TTGGAAACCGACCTGGCTTCTTTCTAGTTGACTTGCCCAGCTCCTCAGGCTGCAGCGGAGCCCACGCTTCCAGGCTTGTAACTCCTCAGCCTGCCTGGCTCCCAGGCTCCCCAACTCTGAGGCGGCCTGCCCCCACTCACGCCGTCTCCCCCCCTCTGTCGTTTGCTCATTTTCACCAGGCTGGGGCAGGGGGTTGGGTTGTGTGAGGGGGTGAGGGCTCCGGCTGGGGGTGCTGGTTCCAGGGTGGGGCCAGGGATGAGGCGTTTGGGGTGTAGGAGGGGGCTCTGGGCTGAGGCAGGGGATTGTTGTGTGGGAGGGGGTATGGGCTCTGGGTGCAGGCTCTGGGATGGGGCCAGAAATGAGGGGTACAGGGTTCTGGGCTGGGCAAAGGGTTGGGTGCATGGGGGGGAGGTGGGGCTCCATCTGGGAGTGTGGGCTCTGGGGATGAGGGGTTTGGAGTGCAGGAGGGGCTCTGGGCTGAGGGGTTCGGGGTGTGGGAGGAGGTTCTGAGCTGGGGCAAGAGGTTGGAGTGTGGGAGGGGTGCGGCTCCAGGAGGGAGTTTGGGTACGGGAGGGGGCTCAGTGCTGTGGCAGAGGGTTGGGGCACAGGAGGGGGTGCAGGGTCCAGGAGGGAGTTTGGGTGTGCGAGGGGGCTCAGGGCTGGGGATTGGGGTGCAGGCTCCAGGCAGCACTTACCTCCAAGGGCTCCCTGCAAATGGCGACATGTCCCTCTGGCTCCTAGGCAGAAGCGTGGCCAGGTGGCTCTGCGCGCTGCCTCTGCTTGCAAGTGCCCCCCCCCACCCCGCAGCTCCCATTGCCCGCGGTCAAAGGGAGCTGTGGAGCCGGTGCTCGGGGCAGCGCCCCCCTGGTCACACCTTTGCGTAGGGGCCACAGGGGCATGTCACTGCTTCAGGGGAGCGGCGCGAAGCAGGGTAGGGAGCCTGTCAGCCCAGCGCCAACTGGACTTTTAATAGCTGGGGTAGTCCAACCAGGCAGACTATGCCCTAGGGCGTGCAGCAGAGCTGGGAGGAGAACGATAATTCTGTTTAAGGAGAATTTCAAAATTTTTGTTTTTATTCTGACTTGGAACTAAACTAAATTTGGAGAACTTGAAATTCTCTGTGCAATGGAATTACTGTTCTCCATCCAGCTCTAGTCAATATCATGGACAAATGTCTCTTCTAGAACTAATAGCCAAAACTAAAAGCTCAGCTTCAATCATTTACAAATAATTACTTGCATCAGTTAAATGTAAATTATATAAATAAATAAGTGTATGGCAGAGATTTGAGGCACAGCATAAATGAAAAAACCCAGAAGAATGTATGTGTATGAACATAAGTAGGTTTTATTCTAAATCAGGCTACAGCTAACCCAGCAAAGGAAAACTATTTAGAATTTACTGGGCTTAGCTGTATGATGATGGTTGAATAATAAATCCAATGAGACACATAGCTTATGGAAATACCTATATGTATATTTATTCAAGGGGAAAATATATTAGAAGGATAACCATGTTATTCAGTACAGACTTGTTCTTAGAATTTAGGATCTTAATCCATGAAAGTTTAAATTCTGTACTAATATGAACAAAGAATAAGATTCATTTTGAATTTAGGGCTAGTCTAATTGCAAAAAAGTTAATCCTACAAAAGCAGATGCCAACTACATATATTAAAATAATAGATTGGTATATAAGGCCAAAGAGATATAGCAAATCTAGAAAACATACAATGATAAATATTTGAGGGAAAAAGACCCAAATTCCATATCTGGTCTTGTTTCTTGGAAATGTGTAATTAAATATATAATTAAAAGTAGCAATTCTCATTGGTGAAAAATATTCCATTATTACTGTTCCCACTATAAGTCTATTTAATCTATATTCCATCTTGCTCAGGTATACATATATTTCATCCTCATAATTATTTTCTCTTGCTTATAGTTATCTGTTTTTTCTTCCCCATAATCCTTTTCTCACCATATGTTTATCATAACCATAATTTTACAGTACCCACAGTCTCAATAACACAAATTTACAGGTGTCACAGTAATTAAAAGTAGGAGATTCTTGAATACCTATTCCTTACTTTTTGCTATTCATCAATTTCCACTAATTTTTGTGTGTGTGTAAATATTGTCACATTCTACTGAACTAAGGCAAGATCTACACAGTGTTTCTACTAGTGTAACTATTTCATAGTTGTATTAGTACAGATCTTAGTGTGGGTGCAGTTATACCGGTATAAAGGTGATCCTCGGATGTATAAACAGGGGAATCTGAAGTAGAAGTAGGGAGAGATTATATTACCTCTGTATTTGGCACTTGTGTGACTGCTACTGGAATACTGTATCCAGTTCCAGTGTTCACAATTCAAAATTGATGTTGATCAATTGGAGAGCCATGAGAATGATTAAAGTATTGGAAAACATGCCTTGCTGTGAAAGACGAGAGGAGCTCAATCTGTTTAGTTTAATGAAGAGAAGGTTGAGGGATGACTTGATCAGACTTGAACAGATCTATAAGTATCTACACATGGGGAAAAGAAATTTTAGAATGAGGGGTTCTTCAGTCTATCTGACAAAGGTATAATAGGATCCAATGTCTGAAAGTTGAACCTAGACAAATTCAGAGTAGAAATAACTTGCAGATTTTTGAGAGAGGATAAATTAACCATTTGAACAATTTACAAAGGGCAATAGTAAACTTCTCATAACTGGTAAGTCAAGACTGGATGTTTTTCTAAATACATCCTTTAGTTCAAACAGTAATTTAGGAAAGTCCTATATGGCCTTAATAACTAGCAACCTATAAATATAGAGGGGTTTTGAACACATGGGAAAGAAACAGTGTGGTTCTGCTGCAAGACGGTGGGAAAGGAAAGATGGGTGGTAGGAGTCCTTGCAGAAGGATTTCCTGGGTACCATGGAGATGTACTCTACAAAGGCTTCATCTGCAGCACAGCTGAAGCAGAGATTTGAAATCTGGAAGGGTTGATAGACCCAAGAGTGCATGGAGTCATTAGAGATTTTTCCCCCCATCGAAGAGTAACAGAGCATGCATGGCACTATTGCTGTGAACGGGCTCTCATGCTGCTCCAAAGCCTGAGAGAGTATTTATTTTCTCAAACATGGTGGAAGTAAAATACATCTTGGAATTTTCAGTTACATATTTCTTTATTATTCTGAACCTATAAATCCAAGTCAATTGTCAAAACAATTGGTGGTAGTGAATTTGGACTTGTGTAAGATTTTCTTTAATTAAGGCACCTTTTCTGAGACAGTTTAGGGACACAGCTGTTTTGGAACCAAAGATTTAGAAAACCTCATTCTTCATCCCAAACCCCACCTTGTCCGTTAACTCAGGTCCGCTCAGTAGTCTTAGTATTTTGTCTAGCTCCATCCAGTTTTACATTTAAAGCCTGAATTTTATAAACAAATTTAACATATCCTCTAAAACAGTGGCTCTCAACCTTTCTAGATTACTGTACCCCTTCAGGAATCTGATTTGTCTTGTGTACCCCCCCCCCAAGTTTTACCTCACTTAAAAAGTACTTGCTTACAAAATCAGACATAAAATACAAAAGTGTCACAGCACACCATTACAGAAAAATTGCTTACTTTCTCATTTTTACCATACAACTATAAAATAAATGAATTGGAATATAAATATTGTACTTACATTTCAGCATATTTTATACGGAGTAGCATAACAAATCATTGTATGAAATTTTAGTTTGTACTGACTTCGCTGGTCCTTTTTATGTAGCCTCTTGTAAAACTAGGCAACTATCAGGATGAGTTGATATACCCCGTGGAAGACCTCTGCATACCCCCAGGAATATATGTACGCCTGGTTAAGAACCACTGTTCTAAAAGAACTATTTTCTCAACAAAGTCTGCCTGGATAAAGAGAGAACCACTTAGGGAAGAATTGGACAGGATGAACGAGAGAGAAGGAAGGACTGGGCCACTGGTGGATACAATACCAGAAAATAGAAAAGCAGCAGTTAGAATAACACTAAGGTTTTGTCAGTTAGTCTTAATTATCCAATGTTGTAATAGTTCAGCCTTGCAAAAGAATCATGAAATGTTGCCAGTACAAACACAATGTACTTGCCTACCCTTCATAATCATTATTGATAATAATGAAAAACTGGTTATACTTTATTCACCTGTTTAAAGTAAAATTACCTTGGGCAAGCAGAAATTTGCTGTACTAATCTAATATTGATACATCACCACTTACAAAATGAACAGGTCAAATAAAGTCGGATTTGTTTTTAGCGCATGCTTTTGTAACCAAATTCTATAATTTGCATGTCACAGTGTATGAGAAGCTGCTATGACAGTTCAGTTGCATATTAAGAATCTGCATTTCAGCAAAAACCCCACACATTTCCTAATAATTTGAAACACTTTTCATGGTTCCATTTTCTTTTTGCATTTTTTGTGCTTCCTGTTCCATGTGTACAAATTTACTGAAGATATTAGTGCTTGTAAAATAGCTTACTACCTTCAGTGCATTGGCTTCTTCTCCTGATTGCTATGGAAATTATTATGATACAACAAACTGTGAAACCACTAATGGAGTATTAAGATTTCTCAATATAACTGAATCAGGCTGAAGGAACTATGTTACACGAAAACTGATTCTGAATGAGTTTGTATTCACATATCATAAGGAAAACAGTATTTTCAAAATATTCTCAATATGTAAGGTAAATAGTGAAATTATACCTTTTTTCCCCTCCTAAAAGGTAGCTAAGAAGGTGAAGGCTACCATAGTTTTGCAAAGTACAACAAATTTGCTTGGTTACTTTTTTTTTTTTGCAGGTATATTTCATTTTCTGCAAATCAAATCTCACTGAAGCCTTTGTACATCTGCATTTTGTACAATTTAATGAATAAATGGAACACTTGAATGCACACTTGAATTCAGAAGCAAAAGTATTTAAGCTTAAAGGCATGTGTGTGAAATTTGGGGAGGAAAGTTCTTACCTGACATATAGGGACCTCTTCTGGCTGGTCCGCAGAGATCCTGATCCTGAGCTAATGCTACTGTTCATCATCTGCTCCCGTAAGTCATGTATTTTAGCTTCAAAACGACTGTATTCTGTAACACGGGAAAAAAAGCACAGAACCATTTATTTTCCCAAAATATCAGCAATTAAGTTATTTGGTAAGATGTTGAGAGCTTGATAAAACAAAGATTTATTTTTATCAAATTTTAAAATATAAATAAACCTCTAAATAAAATAACTAAAATGCTATTTTAACTACTAGTAGTTTTGTGCTATTAAAATTATATGTTACACATGTTTGCATTAATAGGCGTTCTTTGAAACATAAAAAGAAATAATGAAAAATTCTTTTCAATAAGAAAAATATTTATGCTTTTCTAACGAACTGTGATTTCATCAGTTTACCAGAATTTGGATTCTAGAATTCAGGAAAAAAACAAATACATCTATATATTCAGTTTACATAAAGATTACATGGGTGGTTTCAATGCATAGTAATTCACTGTAATGCCTGTGGAATTTTGCTGTAAAGATAAGTGTTTTTATTTAAAACAAAACAAATCAATTAGCTATATTAAATACAAAAATCACTTTTTGCATAAACAAAAAAAGAAAAGTTTAATTAATCCAGATAAACTTTACCCCATAATCAAAAGAAAACCTCACATTATATTATTATTGTGTTTAAAAGACTATTGAACAAAAGATGATCTTTTCAACCTAATAAAAGGTCTGTCTTAGTAACATGAAGTCACTACTTAAATAAATGGTAGTTCTTAAATGAAAATAGCACTGGATAGGTATTATATGGAGTTATTGTGTTCCGAATCAAATAAAGCATTCAGCAGTAGAAGTGAGCAATATATAGAACAAATTTCCTAAAGTAATGTTTAAGAGGGAAAAGAATAATGTAAAAGACAAGAAAAAAACTATCTAGGAATTTTGCTACAAATTCTTGATTCACTTCTAATCTGTATTAGAAACAACTCTATTTACATAATTATGCACAATGCTAATCCTACTATAAACGGATTGTGTTCTTAAGCAGGACTGTGTGTGTGTTAATATAACTGTGCTAAATGCACTTGATTTTACCTACAAATAGAGACAGTAAAATAATAGGATCCTTTTCACTATCAACATCTTCTGAAGTGCCGTACTTACATATTATCAGCATGAAATGTCCAGTCAAATACAAGGTAATTTTTCTTTCAGTTGACTAGTTTGGACTTCAGTATCTGCAGATCACTTCTAAAACCTTTCTGATAAAAAGAAACGTTCCACAGCAACACTGTCCACCTTGCCTAAAACACCACGTGACTTAAGATTAAGTCAAATCTACAGTGGGAGAGCTATGGTATGTTGCTGGCACAGTCACTGAGCTGAATTTTTTTTTTTTTTTTTTTACTTCTCCCCCCCTCTCTCCTCCCTCATCACAATGGAAATCAAATTTGCCCTGGGAAATATAATAATAATAAACAGCTCTTCCCCAATGTAGAAATCATAAGCTTTTCTTTCCCCCTCCTACAACATAATGTTTCTTCAACAATCACATTAAACACTATGTTAGTGATCTCATTAAAATTCTACAGAATTTTTTCGTAACATTCATCTTTACAAAAATAGTCATGAATAACCAAGTGTAACTATAGACAGGAGAAAAATCACTTCAAAATCTATAAACAGGCAACATGGAATATTTTACAAGAGAAAATTCAATGAAGTAGGCTTTTTCTGTAGCACATTGACCTTGTTAGCCAAAGTAGGAAATAGCTTTCTATTAGTCTAATCAACCAACATGCTAACCTTAATGATATCAGAAAGACAAGGTGGGTGAGGTAATATCTTATTGAACCAACTTCTGTTACACCTCACCCACCTTGTCTCTCTAATATCCTGGGATCAACATGGCTACAACACTGCATACAACAATAATGATATCAGACAATGGTTTCCTAAAATATTCTGATGATCCTCAGAAGTCGTCAGTAGTTTTTTTTTTTAAATGGTATGGATCCAGGTACAGATTTGAATAGTTCACCAACCCTAATTCAGATGCAGAAGTAGTTCTGCAATAAGATGAACAAAATCCTATAAACAGCAATTATTCCTGTAATGCTGTCCATGTTCAAAGTAATAAAGTTCAAAATATTGGGGAGGGGGAATTAAACATTACGGAAGCAGCATTGTGTAGTGGAAAGGACATTGGACTGCAATTCATGACAGCTGGGTTCTATTCCCAGCTAGCTACTGATGTACTGTGCGATCCTGTGCAAATCTCTTCCTTCCATGTACCTCTCCCCCCTCACACTTTGTGTTCTGTCTATTTAGAATGAAAGCTCTTTGGGACTCTCTCTTTTATATGCACAATGAGGTCTCAATCTAAATTAGAGCCTTTAGGCATAATTAATAAAAATATTAATTCAATAAAATTATAGTCTCCTTTTATAAGAGGAGAAAAATACATAAACTAAAATTCATTTGGTGTTAAATCACCATCTTAAACATGAGGAGTCATAGACACAAAACATCTTTACAAATAATGGGTTTAAGTGTCTTGGATAGTTTGTTTCTATCAATATCAACACTGCTTATAATAAATTCTCCCTATTGATTTTGCAGCATATAGTCTCTTAACTTATAAACAATTTTTTCACTTGAGTTTGTCTTTGCTAAATTGGATTTGTTTTGTAGTTTATAAGAGAAAGAACTGCCAAAGAGAAATCAGTGAGTTTTTGAGAGCGAGTATAGTCCTGGGATTAGGACATTAGTCTAGGACTAGTGAGACCTGGGTTTAACTTCCTGTCCTACTACAGACTTCCTGTATGACCTTGGGCAAGTCATGTAGTCATCCTGTGCCTCAGTCCCCCATCTGTAAAATGGGAATAATTCTATTCTACATAGGCTTTTATAATGCTCTTATGACTATGAATCCACAAAAATCCATAAGAGAAGTGTACTCTACTATTAAGTCAGATAATGAATCCCCTACCACATCAATAATGCATGAGGAGGAATGAAAATAATTTGATTTAGCTAAAGCAGCAAAGAGTCCTGTGGCACTTTATAGACTAACAGACGTATTGGAGCATGAGCTTTCATGGGTGAATACATGCATGCATCTGATGAAGTGGGTATTCACCCACGAAAGCTCATGCTCCAATACGTCTGTTAGTCTATAAGGTGCCACAGGACTCTTTGCTGCTTTTACAGATCCAGACTAACATGGCTACCCCTCTGATACTTGATTTAGCTAAATGACTTCCAAAAATACACTGACACAGCACAAACAGCAATAGAAACATACATGACATCTGATATACATTTACTGTTGTATGATAAATAGGGCTGTCAATTAATCACAATGAATGCCTGTTAATCGCATACCTTTGGGTGGGTAGGGAGGCATCAGCTGCGGGGGGCCCTGACAGTGTATGGTCAGGTGCAGTACCACCCAAGCCAGCACCAGAGGGAGGGAAGAGGAGAGAAGAGAGGAAGTGTGGGAGAAAGACAAGCATGACACATCCGTGGCAGGTCACAACAGCTGATCGCTCACCATCCATATTACCTTCCTTCTAAGAGTTTCCTCAGCTGTTGCAGTAACTACTCAGAGAAGACTGCAAGATGAAAGCCTCAGTGGGCTCTCCCCAGGCGAACTCCCAGTCAAACTTCCTCTGTTAGCTTCTCTGCTGTTCGCCACTCAGCTGGTTCGCAGCTGACTGCCTTTCTATAACAGTCAGGCCCACTCAAGGCCCACCTGGAACAAAGCACAGAATGTGCCATATTTGTCTTTCTCCCACAGGACAGAAGCGAATTTGTCTGTACAAAGTGCAAGCTGGTCTCCATATTGGAAGAAAAGGTTCAAGGTCTGGAGAAACAAGTATCAACCCTGCATTGCATAAGAGAAAATGAAGATTTCCTGGACAGACGTCAGGATATGCTTCTACGGACACAACATTCTGAAGAATCAGAGCAGGCTGCGCAGCGGGGACAGAAGGACGGTGAAGAAAATTGGCAGCATATGACCTCCAGAAGAAGAAAGAGGAGTGTTCATGTACCAGCAATGCAGATACAGGTGAGCAACCGTTTTCATGTTCTCTCCACAGGTACTAATGCGGAGAGTGGACTAGATGATACATCTGAGGGAAGGGAGCAGAAGGAGACTCCACCGATTGGAAGGCACGATATGCACTGTCCTAGGGATGGGGGTTCCACGACCACCGCTCCCAAGGGAAGGAGGCGGGTGGTGGTGGTCGGGGACTCCCTCCTCAGGGGGACTGAGTCATCTATCTGCTGTCCCGACCGGGAAAACTGAGAAGTGTGCTGCTTGCTAGGAGCTAGGATTCACGATGTGATGGAGAGACTACTGAGACTCATCAAGCCCTCAGATCGCTATCCCTTACTGCTTCTCCACGTGGGCACCAATAATACTGCCAAGAATGACCTTGAGCAGATCACTGCAGACTACGTGGCTCTGGAAGAAGGATAAAGGAGTTTGAGGCGCAAGTGGTGTTCTCGTCCATCCTCCCTGTGGAAGGAAAAGGCCCGGGTAGAGACCGTCAAATCGTGGAAGTCAATGAATGGTTACGCAGGTGGTGTCGGAGAGAAGGCTTTGGATTCTTTGACCATGGGATGGTGTTCCAAGAAGAAGGAGTGCTAGGCAGAGATGGGCTCCACCTAACAAAGAGAGGGAAGAGCATCTTCGCAAGCAGGCTGGCTAACCTAGTGAGGAGGGCTTTAAACTAGGTTCACTGGGGGAAGGAGACCAAAGCCCTGAGGTAAGTGGGGAAATGGGATACCGGGAGGAAGCACGAGCAGGAGAGCGCAAGAGGGGAGGACTCCCGCCTCATACTGAGAAAGCAGGACGATTAGCGAGTTATCTTAAGTGTCTATACACAAATGCAAGAAGCCTGGGAAACAAGCAGGGAGAACTGGAAGTCCTGGCACAGTCAAGGAATTATGATGTGACTGGAATAACAGAGACTTGGTGGGATAACTCACATGACTGAAGTACTGTCATGGATGGATATAAACTGTTCAGGAAGGACAGGCAGGGCAGAAAAGGTGGGGGAGTTGCATTGTATGTAAGAGA